AAGAAAATTAGGTAGTCAAACACAACCAGAACCATAGGAAATAGGGAGGTTGCAGTGGTTTCTTTCAAACACATAACTCTGACTTTTCGATGCATATGGTGAGGGCTTCTGCAATGATTTCAAAGAAGTTAGGAAACCCACTGGCTTTTGGGCAGATATTTTTTGGTCCACTTTGTAAATGAATCTGCATGATCGATGGGTCAGTCGAGGTTTTATGTGACACGTGTGTTGACTGTGCTATCATATACTACAATGCCTGCTTACAGGCATATTAGATAGTATTCTGCAACATGTTTAGGAGGGATTGCGACCCATGTATCTAGCTCCACTGGAGTCAGTAAACTGATATATGCACATTTGAATGGCCAGTTTTATACAGAAGTTTGTCCTTCACACTGCTTAGAAGCAGTGGGCGTCTAGAGATTATCATTCCTAGTTTTGTTTCAGAGATGGTCTTCATTAAGGAACTAGAAATTCTCCTCTTTGAGTTATCTGCCACTAGCTAAGAATCCTTTGAAGTCCAGATCCATATAAAGTCTTTCTTCGGCAGTGAACTGCATTCTCCTTTTTTCTGCTTTCATTGTGATGTTCTTCTCTACAAAACGTGCTGGGTGTCCATTTTGAGTCAGGATCATAAGTTCTGAGAAACAAGAGCTCTTCTTCTAAGTAGTCAGTGCTGTAAATTCTTCTGATACGGTGTGCCAGTGAGATGATAGGAGTTCTTCGAACTTTCACCTGAAACCTCTATCGTTATAATGTGGAATTAAATAACAATAATAATAATTCTATCTACGTAAATTTATGTATATAAATGTAATTGTACAGCTGCTTAGTTGATGAATTCGTCGAAGGGAATTTTTTTCCCTGCAGTCGTCTTTTTAATATTTCTTATGATCGAATGCCTGCATCTTCTAATCCTGTGTTAATTTTCTTTCTAAACCTCTTGTGATCTTATCTATACTCATAACTTCAAACTTTCGTTATATCAGGTTGAAAATTACTGTCACTTTTAATCTCCACCTTCGTTATTATGTTGACTGAAATAAAAATATTTGCAAGTTGTCCAAAGACAGATGGCAGAAGAGGGAGCACTTCAAGGGAATACAGAAGTGACAAAGGTTATGAAGGTGCCTAACCTCCTTCTCCAACAGCAACAGTAAGCACTAATCGCTATCATTAGGAGAAATTTGAATTAAATTTTTTCATTTATCTAAACAACATCGCTTCACATTTAGGCAGCATGGTAGAGAATATCACAGGCACTATCGAAAAAATGAAATAGGCCACCAATAATTTGAAAGCAGTGTGGAAAGCTACTGCATTTAGCATAAAGAGAAATATGAGGATTTTCAATACTAATGTCAAATTAGTCAGTGCTTCTATATGATTCAGAGAATTGACAGGCAACTCACAAAACAGCATCTGCAACAGGATGCTGCAAACTTTCATCAACAACTGCCTTTACTACCTCGATAGGGAAGACCTCGTGGCCGGCTGGAAAGGATGCATAACCAGGATCTCTGGTAGCAACCAAATCAACCAAGAAACTGTCGCCTAAAAATACGCCGAAGAAAATAGCAATAATTGGATTGGATATACACTGAGGGGACCGTTAAATAATATTGCACACCAAGCCTTCGAGTGGAACTTGAACCTAAAATGACGAGTTGGGTGGAGCTCTGAGGGTGACATAGAGGAGACTGAGTACTATGGACAATAGTGGAGCCAGGTTAAGAGGACTCTAAAGAAAAGGAAAAAAATGGAGGTGTGCCGCTGAAGTCCCATTTTCTACTTGGAACCCAGGGGAATAATAATAATACTGGTAGAAAGTTTGTTAGAGTGGAAGTGAATAGCAAAAGTTAAATTATGACACAGAAACACAATTAAGTAAATTTAGAAACTTATATAAGGATGAGCTGAACTCAGTAAGTGATAATCATAACCAGAGTTGATATAAGCGCAGTCAGTCTGGTGACGAGAAATTTATTTTTTTCCCTCAGTTCTTCTGGATTGTTCTTCCCCTTTTATCCACTAGACAGATAAAATTTGGTTTCTTTTCAACTATGAACCTTCGGTGATATCTATTCTTCCTAAGATTATTCTCAGTAATCATGGGTTTCTTCGCCATCTCATTACCTGGAAACTCTGGCCATAATCTAGTGTACGGCTATCTGACCGAAATTGCGTTTGTAACTAATTCACTAGTTCAGGTCACTTTTCCTTGGACACAGATTTCTAAGTCATCCAATCATTTCTATTCTTTTTATTCTGAGATCTAGGAAATTGGACTGATTGTCATGTTTATGATCCATTGGTAAAATTAGCGTGAAGAAGAGCTGAGCACATTAAGTTTGTGGATAAGTTTATAAATTGACACTGCTTGGATTGTATGTAGTTGGCAAGAATCCACGAATACTAGAAATAAAACCAGCTTGTGTTAGCCTGCCTGTTAATATGTTCCTTCTTTCTTTATTCAGGCTAGTCAAAGGGAAATAGTTTAATGAAACAAATGACGTCTGCTCTACTAACTCAGGTTCAACATAGAACTACTTCGCACAGAAGTGTAGCAGCGCTTCAAATTGCTACGCTCCATGTGGAACACAAAGACAGACAAAAGGCGTTCTTAATTAATTTATTTATTTTTTATTTTGATTTATTTTGATTTACAGCTTGATTCCACACCGTATTTTCAGTACAAGTGTGGAATTTTCAGCATGGATATCGGTAGCCCAAATTTTGCAGGCCGACCAAAGATATCGGGTGTGCGCCGGCAGGGGGATCGAACCCCGGACCATGTGCATGGTCGGCGAGAGTCCTAACCACTGTGCCACCGACATAATAACCAGAAAAAACGTGACACTGTGAATGTATCTGCGCCATTCTGAATGATTTTGAGTGGCATCACCCATTGTCTTTAGCTATGGGATCTAAGAATCCTGAGGACCTCAACCAGCCAGCCAGTCTACATCTTCCTACTTGGCTCCATCTAACTATCAGAGACTTCATGGATTGATTTCAGTTTCTGGTTTGACCACTAAAAGCTCCTTTTCAACACGATGCTGTCTAAGCTGCTAACACTACTCTTCAAGAAAGGCGATGGGAAGGTTTGTGTGACACGTATTGTCTTAGCCACCTCAATCATTGCGTTTGCTTCACAGACACATCGATTGACTTTCCCTCTTAATCACCTAACACCTTATGTCTAACCAACTGTATATTGCTCACCCTGTTATACGGAAGAAAGACTGCATAAATCTATGACCAAAGACAGTTAGCCAGCTTCTTCATATCTTCCACCTTCATTGGCGATCATTTCTCACTGACAGCCATAAAGAAAAATAAACAGAACTTTTGCTGTGAAGCACACACGTCCGTTGATCAACGTAGGTCTGTAAATGCTACAGGAGCCATTTTCATCGTGAAGTGGTCAACATGCTCTACTTTTTCACTCAGGCCCTTCTTTAAGCTAACTAGAAGTCGATGTAGTCCAGTCTTGTAGTATTATTTTACACATCTGACAAGATGAGCGAATCTCATTCCAAACATCTGAAGATTTCTGTCCAAGGTAGTGAATAGCATTTAGAATACTCTGTGGCATTTTACCAGTGTCTTCTCACCTAAGAGAGGACAATATAATTTGTATACTCTAAGTTTCTGTATTCAGTTAGCGTCAGTCAATTCCACAACACCTCACCTCCGCATTGGTACATCTATGATGAAATGAGATAGAAATAGGGACACTGATGAAAACAAAACACGTAGTTCAGCGAAGAGTCTCTTTTCGGCGCCGAATTCATTTTCCTCTTTAGCTGTACAATCGCAAATATCTATGAGTTATTTTGTCTACATGCATACATTAAGTTTGTCAAACAAAAATACAATTGGTTATGGTTATTTTTTTTATCTAAACAGGTTTTGGGTAGAGTTACGTAATACAAAAACGGTTAGGAAAATTGGGTGTTAATGAAACTAGTGTAGTAACAAAGGTGATGAGTTGTCACAAGCAGTTGTTAAAAAGGAGAGCCGTGGAGCCAGGTACATTGGTCTTTCGAAGCGCTTCCTGTCCAAGAGGATTCAAAAACACTATCCAGCATGGTTGCGAAAAGGCAATAGTGGTTCTATAAGAAGTGCTAACTGACTGACTGGTTTCAACATAGAACTTTGCACCGATATGCAGCAGTTCGAGTCGCTACACTCCATGTAGCACACAAAGCAGGAGAAGAAAGTAAAAAGAAATGGAAAATAGAGACAGTAAATAGAGATATGAGGCGAAAAGGATAGTAATATCGATAATCGAGTGCGATAATTGAACACCTGGTTAGCACTGATCATCCGATCTCAACAAACTCCTCCTTCAAAGTAATCTAGAGTGAAGAATAACCTACCAAAGGCAAAATGGTTTCGTCTTCTTTGTATCGCTGAAGCTTTGGCCATTCAAATAGAAAAACCGGAGCTATGCATAGAAAAAAGATTTACTCAACCACTTCTATTATCGTGGTAACAACTTTGTTGATTTTTGATGACTTAATTTTGTTTGTTTGCCCATTTCCTTAATTACTTATAATTTTTGTATTCATTTAGAACTCTCACGTAATTTCTTATTCTCTTCTTTGTTCCTATGTGTATCCTGAGTAAAACTCAATCTTTGAACTATTCATATTATTGCGTAACTCCTTTTTAACAACTGTTTGTGACAACATCATCACCTCATCACCTACACTAGTTTCATTAACACTCTATTTTCTTAACCGTTTTTGTACTACGTAACTCCACCGAAAACTTACTAATTCTCGCCCCCTTTAGTTAAAATAACCATAATTAAATGTGTTTTTGTTTGACAAACCTAATGTATACATGTAGACAAAATAAATCATATATATTTGCGATTGTACATCAAAGAAAATGAATTCCCCGAAAAGAAACTCTTCTCTGAAATACGCTTTTTGTTTTGCTTAATGACTGGATGGGGATTATCCAAGAAATAAGGACAAACTACAACTACCGTATTACAAGCACAAACTCAAAAGAAAAACAACAAATACCAGAACCAGAAATAATGAATTATGCCTCAGAATATTTATTAAAAATAGACAAATATTTATCCATGCAGTCGTTCAGCTGATATTTACAATACCACCTCAGCATTTCATTCATTTTATGCATATCTAAAATGCAAAATCTTTCATGTATCCATATAGAATAAAATATATAAAATACTAAGCAGAACATCCGCATAAATGTTTCAACTACACAATTTGTTTTATTAAATGCCTTATTCAATTCATTTTTCAATAAACAATTTAACAGTATCCCTGTAATATTGATACCGATTAAACAAAATGGAAATTTCTGTTCACCATCTAATGAACATTGGTAAATACTGTGTAGAAGTTTCTCTGGAAATTTTTTCCCATCTGTCATATACAGTAAGCATAGTAAAGATAAAATCCCAGTTGAACGAAAATCTGTCGCTGGCTGTTGTCCTTGAAAACCGACCAGTTGCCAATCAATGACACCTGGACAACCTTGATCTAAGCAATCGCTAATTGGCTGTTTTGTCAAAGTTGAATAGATTTGAATCAATGAGGCATGGTGTAGCTGATTACTGATTGGTTCACACGGTGTATGAGAAAGGTATAAAAGGAAATCACGTTCAGCAGTCAACTGTTTATTCAAACGACGCCTATTGATGTGTATAAGGTATGCAAATATTTCTTGAAACCTTATTTTCAGTGATGTCTCAGTGTTTTGAATTTTTTGATTTTCAGTTGAGGAAATATTTCGACTTTTTAGAATAAATAAATAATCAATAATATGATCAAAATTCAAATCAGTTTGTTTTAAATTGTCGGCTACCATGAAATTACTTTCAGTGGTGTTTATATCATTGAACAAACATTGAGCATTGTCATTGTGTAAATGTGAAATATCAGTAAATTCGATATTCTTCTTATCAACTAGGAACTGTTGATCTGTACAGGTAGGATCCGTTTGACTTGGATGCTTAATTTTGACAGAAGTCTTGGGATGCTGATTCTTGAAAAGAAACACGAGTCTTTGACGGAATTTGCTCTAAAAAAGAAGTCCAGGAAACATTAAAAATTAACTATTTCTAAAAGTTATTAGAAAATTCCACTTATATATATATATACATATATAGGTGTGTGGATGACACGTTCATCCTATGTGAAATGATTCGCAATAATATGCGTCTATTCAATGAATTACTTTCAGTTATCAATTAAAGTATGTGTGTGCATGTCGAGAAGAATCCCAGAAAGCAAAGTCCGCCTATGTAGATATCCTACTCATCACAAGATGACCAGATGGTGGTATAAAAAAGGAACCTGCAATAAATCAAACCCTTACAAATTAACTCTTGAAGTCAAGTCTGATGCTCGCTAGCGACTACCTACAAGACACATTTGCCTGGAGTTCTGGTGAGAAGCCATGACTATTTAGGTCCATCTGGTTAGAAATGAGGAGAAATATTCACCGACGGCAACACTGGCTGGTGCCTGTTGTGCAAAAATCATGAATTAGTAGAAGTTGGAATTCATGTGCTGGGTGGGGTCACATTGACTGAATGTTCGCCAACGAGCTTGACTTGTAACCGGAAGGTCCTGGAATCAAATGCCAGTGGTGAGTGAATATAAAACTTGAGCACTAATATACCAATCAATATGGCCTTAGAAGCAGTTAAAAAGGAACTAACTGCGGATCCTGAACTCACGTATAGGACAAAGCTGCCCATTGAAGAAATTATTTTAGGGATTCAGTTATGCCTCACATCTACTATCTTTAAATTCCAAGGCAAAATATATGAACAAACAGAAGGTGTAGCAATAGGATCACCAATATCCTCTATCGTAGCAGACATATTTATGGACATTTGGGAAAATAGAGCTCTCAATACAACATTTAATCCTACTCCAAAAATATGGTGGAGATATGTGGATGACACTTTCACAGTGTTAAAAACAGAACATATCTCTAGCTTCTGGACATATAAACTCACTAGTAGAGGGAGTAAAATTCATATTTGAATCAGAAAATGAACAAGGAGAATTAGCTATGTTATATTGTAAAATAAAACGAATAGAAGAAGGTAGATTGCACACTAGCGTCTATAAAAAACCAACGCATTAAGCTAATAGGTATTAAGACTTTCATTCATCTTATCCGTTAACTGTTAAGGGAGGCTTAGTAAAGTGTCTAACAAACCGAGAAGTAGCACTAAGTAGAACAAAAAAGACCCAAACGATGAAATGAAACAGATAGAAGAAGCGTAGGTATCAAATAAATATCCTATAAAATTCATCAGGAAGATCAGAAAAGGCCTAAAGCAAAATAAAAATAATTGTGAAACTAGTAATGATAACATAAATAAGAGACAATATAAGGCATCTACTGTTATACCATATAAGGAGGGGACATCTGAGACCCTACGTAGGATTCTTAATAACAAAGCAGGAATTAGAGTGGTGGCATTCAAACCTACAAACTCAATCAGGGACAAGTTCTGTTTGCTAAAAGACCCGGTGGACCCAATTAAACAAAATAATATAATTTACAAATTACCTCGCAGTGACTGTGAGTTAGGTCAACTACATAGGTCAAACTAGTAGATCGGGGGTAATCAGATTGTCGGAACATAAGAATTTAGCTAAGGGAAGAATCGTTGACCCCGAAAAGATAAGTAATTTAGAAAAAAGCTCAGCAGTTGCACTTCACTCATTAACAAACAACCACACAATAGAGTGGGATAGGGTTAAAAATCTAAAAAGTAATCTAGGTAGGTGGAGAGCGAGAGAGGTTGATGACTGAATCCTGGTTCATCGAGTCTACACACAACACTTGCAACAGAAATGACTCAATGCAAATACCAGAGAAGAAGAAGATATTATTACCGCCAGTCAAATCAGAAGAGGATAATAAATAATCTCAAAACTCTATTTGAATTCAAGCACATCACAGCGTTCTAACAAGTTACTTATTATGTGCGTCGGTGGCACAGTGGTTAGGACTGTCGCCGACCATGCACATGGTCCGGGGTTCCATCCCCTGCCGACGCACACCTGATATCTATGGTCGGCCTGCGAAATTTGGGCTACCGATATCACATGCTGAAAATTCCATACCTGTACCAGAAAATACTGTGTGGAATCAAGCTGTTATAAAAAATATATATATAAACACTGGTCTTATTTCCATCTGATTGTAATTGATCAATAACACTTATATTATTATTTCTGAATGTACATTATCCTATATTACTGATTTTTATTCAAATATCTAGTCAACTCCACACATGTATATAAATGAAGGAGAAAGTTGTGTAAGTAGCTTGATATAATTATGAGCAATAAATTGTGCTCGAAACGTCATCAGTTAATATTACTGTACAACACTGTGTGATTTGTCAAAATAAAATCTTATCCATAATGGAGTGGTGAGTGAGTACTGCCAAAGAGTTTCAAACTAGTGGGAAACAGTGCTGCAATTATATCAATGTGTGACCAAACGTGAAACAAATCAAATTCCTACAAATTAAACATTGAAAAATGAACAAAGTAACTGTACACATTTCCACAGATTTGTTCCCCTCCAAAATAAAAGAAACTTAGCTAAGACCCTCAACTAATAGAGTCGGAGAGTTGTCTGTTCAGTAGATGCTATTGAAGACAAGCTGAAATCTGTGTACGACAGGTTAATTGCAAATAGCTACCCAGAAAAATTCATCACGTAACAAAAAATGGTCAAGAGAGTAGAAAATAACTCTTCTGTATCTGTTAACAAAAAGCCAGCATACTATAATATTAGACCGTTGTTGACGTACAAAGTTAAATTAATAACCAAACAAGTTGCGAAAATCTATTGGAAAGAGTTTCAATACCTACCGGTGAGTTGCAGCTCACATTTTCCACACGACCCATTATGATTTTGAAACCGACAGACCTAGTATATCTAGGCTAGCCGCCTGTTTTCTTGTATCTATCAATTCAACCGCTCTTCCTGCGGAGACAGTTATATACTGCCCATTGATCTAGGAAGTCAGTTTTTGCTTCCACAAGAACGCCTACCCGTATGACTAAATAAAGATAATCAGTTTAGTGTTATATTGATGCCTGTTATAACTTTCAGATGTTTGTTTGGACTGTAATCCAGTGATCTTATTGATCGGATAGTATTTAAAAAACATTACTGCCACTGATAACAATAATTCTTTAATTATCATGGACGCCTACAACTTTAGAACCCGATGAAGAGCAGCTTATCAGTGGGTGTCTTTAATAAAGAGATGTTTGATCCTAGATTTCATACAGTAGAGTTCTCTTTCACACACCCTCTAGCGTCACCCTATTTCGCAAACTACTCAGCTTACAGTGCGTAATCTGCTCAGTTGTATAAATGGAAAACAAAAGGATCATCTTGTTACATCGCGTGTCATTCTTGATTGGGATTTATGATATTATGCAGATCACTGATTGTGATCCAAAATATTTATGATTTGAAACGGGAACTCCGATGAATTTTCTACTCATTACAAGTAAACCCATGTATTTAACCAGAATATGAGTGGTTTCAATTAGTTTCGCCGCCGAGAGATGATGAAGACAGCCTCAAATGAGCGAAACAACTATTTGGTGTATTGATCATTTCGATAGAAGTAGAGGGCAGTACTTTTGAGGGTGAAGAGCTTCTAATTACTAAGTCATCTAGGTCAGTTTTATGCATTTTGATATCCTTCAGAAAAAATGTATCTACAACTCTGGGGAACAACAAATTCGTTTTGTGACTCCTGATTTCCTTGTGTCAGGAATTCACAACCCATTTAGTGAGTTTACGTCCCCTTTAGGAATTGAAAAATACGCCTCAAAGGTTCTTGATTAGTTTGTTCCAAAAGTGTCTCGATGCTTATTCTTTCTGGCCAGTCATCTGATCTTCAGTATAGAGGTAGCGAAGGCAGTTGTTGATAAAAGTCTGAAGCTGGCCGTTTGAAATGCTCCTAATGATGCACCAATTTTCCTGTTTCATATAAAAGAACTGACTGACCAAAATCTGAATTTCCGTCTTCATCCTGTGGCGGAGTGCAATGGACAGATTTCCATTCTATGCCCTGTTCGATGATGGTGAGAACAGTTGCAGTTTGATCCGCACATGATTCACCTTTCCTTATTTTGGCTTCTCCCAGGCGGAGTCATGCATCCAGTGCATCTTACTCTTTCCACGGTGATTTAGTATTTTAGTTGGCGTGGACAACAGCATGATCCCACGCCAGTTGCTGCATAGACTTAAGTCACCCTTCTTTGGTATTTTCACAGGTTAGCCGTCCTTCCAAACGTTCTGCAGCAGTGGCATCAGCATACCCTCTGCAGTCTCTGAGTCCATTTTCAATGCTTCAGGGGAACTCCATCTGGTCCTGCTGCCTTCCTGAACTTCAGTAGCTTGATTGCACTGAAGACTTCTGCTTTTGTTGGAGGATTGGTGTCCACTTGCAGACGGTTGTTTGCACGCTGGTGATGGTATCTCTGGAAGAGTTGCAGGCGATGAATGATTCATGAGTCCTTCGAAGTGTTCCGCCCATTGTTTTATCTGCCTTTCCTCCTTGGTAATTAGGCTCGCTTAAACATATTTTCTGGGTTTCGTCTGTGTTTGTCTCTTTCTGGATAGAGACCTTGCTATCTGATATAATGCTGTGAGTTCTCTTTTACGTGAGGTATGTTCTGCTTCAGTTGCCAGCGTGCCGCAGAAGTGTCTTATATCTTTCCTGGTACTCTTCTTCACTTCTTTGTTCAGCACTATGTGTTTTGAACTCAGCTTTTCCATCTATGTATTGGTTCATCTTCTCTTTCACCATTACTCTTTCCTCTATTAGCTCCCAAATATCCTTAGAGAGCCATTCTTTGTCTTGCCTCTTCTTTCTTCCTAAAACGGCTGTACACATTTCTCTGACTGCAAAGAACTGAGTGAAATCAGGCGCGAATAATATTATTAATATAAAAAAATGTCTTTTTTCAGAAATAATAATAATAACCATCTTACAAAACCAAATATTTTGTAAAAATTGTAATGTAACCATATTCCATTGATTTTTGTTTTCTGACTGAAGGTATTGATACATTTAAAATAATTATATTCTGTCTTGTTCTAAATTGATGAATACCTTTTTGAGTTTGCTGAACAGTCTTCCTCCACTCATCATGTATCATTTGTTGCTGAGAAAATCATAAGTATTAGAAACTTGGCGCGTCACATAATGCATTTCCAGAAGGCTACTAGCTATTCATCAAAAGTTGCCTTTGCTCCATATTAAAAATCAAATGGCCGGTGAGAGAGAATTAGCAACGGGAAAACCTGGGAACGAACCCATCAAGAACCATTTGATTGAAACCTATGCCGAAAGAAGTGGAGATGGATGCTTTGGACACACGCTGAAGTGACCATCGGGCAACATAACACGCCAGCCAGGCTATCACTCAAGTGGAAGCTGAATAGGGAATAACGAGTTGGGCGTTGGTCCGAGGGTAAAATGGAGGAGACCGTTCGAGCCTAGGAAAAATGTAGAGAATGGCAAGGAGTGGAGACTTGCCCCGGTTGAAACACTATATTCCACTCAAAATTCGACGGGACAACAACAAAATAATCATAAAAATGCACCAACATTCACCAACGTTTGATTATTGGCGTTCCTAGGACTCGTACCGGCCACCTCCATACGTTGTTGGCTGAAGACAACAGTACAAGACCTGACGAATTCATATTTCAAAACTTTTTGGGATAAAAATAGTAATAATAATAGTAACCATCTTACCCAGATATTTTGTAAAAACTTGAATGCAGCCATTGCTTCAATTCAAAATATAATTTTCTTGTTGTATCGACTTTGATGAATACTTCTTGAATTAATTCACTGCACAGACATCCTCCACACATTACACATCATTTGTTGATGGCAACTTTACACGTAAAAAGCCATTTGACATTAGACAATCAGCAGGTAGAACTCTAATCACTCTGTAAATAAAGGAGATCAAAATAGTATACATTACATATGCTACTTTCTGATTCACCTCAGATAGGAAATAGTAATATATTCATTTGCAAAACGAAACGATGTAATGTACGAATAAGTGGGACAGAAAAATTGTCAAAACTGTCATGAGATGACTTAATGAATGAAATTAGTTTCAGGAGAATACGATAAGTCATTTAAACAGAAGGCAAAACAAAAATGAAAATGGAGAAAGTACAGCCCCTATGTAGCAAACACCAGCTTCAGTGAGCAGTGACGTTACATTGTCATTATTATGCCCTTAGGTTTCAAGTTGAAAATAGGGCTTCAGCAAGGGCACATCACTATCTCACCGTGTTTTCTGCGGTGATCTTTAGCTGAGGTTTCGTCTCCACTATGCCACCCTCCGGCTCACGTCCAACTCATCGTTTCCTATTTGGGCTACTTTCGAGATATGACATGCCACGTCATGTTACTCAACGGTGTTCTCAGGGTGTTCACAATCCACCTCCATTTTCTTTCGGTATATTTGTTTTGGACAGTGCGATCTTCACAGCTTCGTTCCCAGAGTTTCTTGTTGCTAATTCCTTCTCACTGGCCATCTGATCTGTAGTATGGAGGCAGAGAAGACAGTTGTTGGTAAAAGTCTTCAGTAGTCTGTTGGAAGTTCTTACTGAGACGTGCACGCTAAGTCTGTGAACCATATACAAAGACTAAATGACTTGACATGAGTATCGATACTCCAAAACTTGTTCTTTACGCTTCTGAGTTCAGAAGATTTCCAAACCATGTTTTCAGATTATTATTATTATTATTGTATCCTTTAATTCCCAGAGGAACATAGGGCTTCAGCCGTGCGTCTCCATTGCGTTCGGTTCTCTGCTAGAGTCTTCACCTGGCTCCAAGTTTGCCCACACATTTTCATCTCATCTTCACATGACCTCCTCCAAGTCACCCTTCAGGTTTCACTCGAGCAATGGCCTGCCTAGTGATGTCACTTGATGGTTTCCTCAGAGTATGGCCAATCCATCTCCATTTCTTCCTGCCTATTTGCTTCACAATCGGTTCCTGGTTGGTTCGCTCCCAGAGATCCCTCACTATTCCTGATCTTTTCTGGACGGCCATCTGATCTTGAGTATTGAGCGAAGACAACTGTTAATGAAGGTCTGTAGTTTGTTTGAGATGCTCTTTATGACGCGCCAAGTCTCTGGTCCGTATAGTAGCACTGACTTCACATTGGAGTTGAAAATCCGGATCTTATTTTTTCAGATTGATAAAGTTCTATCTAAACTTTCCATGCCACCGACTGAAGTCGAAACGACTCTACCTGGATAAATAAAAGAAGTGATTTCCTTCAAATTTCTTCCTTTGATGATGATTGGCACTTGTTGTTGTCGGCCCGTGGAGTATCTTCATCACCTCTGTCTCCTCTATGTTTACTTAAAGTCCTGTCCTCACTTCCCGTTACTCTTCTGCCAACTTGCTGTTGGTTTTCGCCTGTAGATCCTCGAGTTTGTATGACATTAGACATAAATCACCCATGCGAAGTCCAAATCTTCGGAGTGTAGATAAAAGTAAAAGCATAGTAAGTGTTTCTTTTAAGAGTATACTGTTAGGCTTCAGAAAAATAGGACAAGGAGCAAATTATGATCCAGGGTTTAGTAAATGCTTAATTCATGGGTTTAGATCAATTAGCACCAGTCAACATAACTTGCGGATATTTGTCCCCACACCCGACTTGGTGGATCCCACTAGTTATCTGGACTTCTCACTAGGCAACTGCAGTCAACATCGTCCCGCAGCCAGTCAGTCAATGAAAGGATCAGCTGTCCAGTACTCCCCGGTGATTTAGCCATGTTTCTGTAATTTATGTCATATTGTGGTCAAACTGGTAACAATGGCTTTATTACAAACAACACATATGATACTGTTTGGTGTATCCAGCGTGTACTACAATTGTATATCTGACGTTTTCTTGGAATTGTTGTAATTAGGTAGATGGAGGGAATCGGGAGAGAGCCCTTCTGATACCTAGCCTTCATGCTTGTTTGCACGCATGCTAGTCAGTCAGCAAGGCGTATCTGCAACCACACTGAAGGAACAGAGATTAGAGCCTATGTTACCCGGTGTTACAGTAGGATGTGCATTGCTGACGAGTACCAGCTCACACGAAACCTAGGTTTAGACAGGCAAAGCTTCGCGTTGATTGCCTCCAACCATTTAACAACAACAGAAATTCAGAGTAAACTGTGATGGTGAGCCACCACGTAGTGTGGTTTCTTTTCTCATCATACACAAAATGCTTGCCTGACACGAAGTAAGGTACCGTTCAGTGCAGGTATAAAGTCTGTTATAAATGCTTTTTTTGTCCTGCCTAACTGATGAGATACAAGCGAGGGGAATTTTGTATAAAGAGGAGACGCTCAAAGTTTTTCTGTCAAGATGATATTCATCAATTTCTTTCATGAGTTCAAACGTCTTTCAACAATAAGATAAACGAGTTGGCTTAGCAGCACCCGACTCACCCTAACGACAGCGTTTAGTGCCACCCCAGAATGCATAAATGTCTTTTTATAGTGTCCGAGAAGAGATTAGAGCGGGGAGAGCAATAACGAAGAAGAATAGGTGGAATACTGCAAGAGTTAACAAAAGGATACTAGAGTGTCTTAACTTCCCTACGTACGGAAGATAAGACGAAATACAGTTTCCAAAAAAGGAGATGTGATGACACTAAGCCTGAACTTCAAACGGTACAATGTTTACTCGATTCCAAGTGTGAGGTGCTGTGTCCATGATTCATAACGCATCAAAGATTTGTGTAAGATTAGGACGCAAAATCTTTTCCCTTTTAAACACCCTGCCATACCGAATTGCGTAATATGGTGGTAGATATTGAGGTGGTTAGGAGTAGAGTGTTAAAGGTAAGGAGGACAGTTACATCGAATGAGATGGCCGGAATACGACGTGTTGCGCATGCTCAGCCATCCACTTCCACGACGACGATTGTTAGCTGGCATAAAATTAAGTAGAAAAAGAGTTATATAAACGTGACTAAACCGAAATCTTCGACATTTGGTTTGAGCCAGGCAAGTATGGAGATGTAAATTGCCCAAATTGTTGGCTGCAGTCGTCAAGATTTTTAGCATCAAAGTGTGGAGATTTCCAGTGATATAACTCAAAATGCCACAGATGTATTAACACTTTGTGTGATTTCTTGTGTCAGTTAAATTATCATAATTTTCCATGTTACTATTCATCTTCCTCTACGTTTCCGCTCCTTATAGTTATTTTGAATCCAGTTTGTCCCCACGTTTGTGTGCTACATGGTGTATGCGGCAAGCGGAAGTTAGTCAGTCATTCGAATTTGTATATGGAGAGTGTTTAGGCTAGGCGTCTGATACAGCCAGCAGTTGATTCCCATCAATCAAGTGCCGTCGATACGCTTACTTCAATCTGAACAATTGGATAGCATTATCACCCTTTATCACTTCGTTACTTAATTTCATCGAAGATGTACTGAGGAGGAAGGAGTTCACCCTAACTGATAAATTTAGCGACTGACGTGTGGATTGACACCTGAATCGGCTGTCAGGATAGACAACTAGAATGTCGGAAGGAACATCTTGAAGTGCAGTTTGACTGACCTACAGTCACTCTCAACTTGCTCACCATCCAACACTTACCTGGATGCGATGTAGAGACTTATCCTCCATCTGTAACTCAGCTTACAAAGGCTGTTTCTAATCTGGAACGAGGCAGGACAGCACCACCTGATGGAATGACTCCAGAGGTGTTTGAGGACGATGGTGGCAAATTGCTGTCTGGATTAACTAAGGCATTAGGCAATGTCCAGGAATTAGAGATAGTCCTGTTCGACTGGTGTAAGTCATTGATTATCTTAGTATACAGCAAGGGAAACAAGTCTTCCTGTGATAATCATAAGGGGATTAGCTTGACTAATATGGTATCCAAAGTTCTCAGCTCGATAATCATGAGTAGACTAAGTGACGCTCGGGAGAAACAAACGCGAGAAAAGCAGTCAACCTTTAGACCAGGAGGAGGGTGTATTGATCATATGTCCACCCTTCTAGAGATTCGGGAACATAGGCATACTTACTGGCATCCAGGTAACAGTTAGTGGAGAGTTGTCACCTGAAGTCATGATAACCAGTAATATCAGTCAGGGATGACGACTGTCCCCATCTCTGGTTAATTTCATCAGAGATATACTAAGAGGGGGATTGACCCCTCACTGACTTTAGCCACTTATGTAGGGGCTGGACTTGTTACCACCAGAGAATAGTCTTGTTGACACGTCGGATATGCAAATGACAATATTGTCCTCTCCCAGGAGCAGGAGCAGTGAAGACTGACAAAATGCAGCAGAGTCTTCTGAACGCATTGAGCGGAAATCTCAGTATGTTTGACATGTGATTACCTCTTTTTGTCAAATACGCAAGACGATGCTACAAGACTGGACCACACTGACTTCTGGTTAGCTTGAAGACAGGGAGTGAAGTGGTAGGGTGTGTTGACCACCACTTCACTGATTCAGGAAGTGCCATCCGTTCTAATCAATTGACTGATTGCTGACGAAATCTCAGCACGGATACGAATGACTGGCTCGTGTGACATTTGCCAATTTATGTCATATCTGGCTGGCGTAGACGTGTGGTATTTGGCTATGGACTAAAGTTGTGTACTTCAGACGAGCAGCAGTTCGCTTCGTCCTCCTTCATGGCAGTGAGTAACACAGGGCCGTTGAATGTGGAAGACATGAAAAAGCTGGCTAGCTGTCTTTCACCATACGAGTGTCTGCATTCTATCTCCCCTTTCAGCTGGTATAATAGGCTGAATAATATTGAGATGATGCCTAGGGCATGTGCTACGCATGCCTAGCTATCGCCTTCCTCGACAAGCAATGTTAGCTGACATAGATACGATCAGCTTGGAAAAGCACTAGTGATGATGATGGTCAGACCAAAACTTGG